TGTCTGAACTTAATACCACACTGTTTTAATTATATCTTTGTAATATATTTTGGAATCAGGCAGCATGTAAATAAACAAAGAGCAGAAAAGAGCTGTAAATACACAGAACAAACTGATTATGGCCAGAGGAGAGGGTGGTAGGAGTAGGGGCAAAATGGGTGAAGGAGAGTGGGAGATACAGGCTTCCAATTATGAAGTGAATAAGTGACAAGAATAAAATCTACAACACAGGAATATAGTCAGTTGTATTGCGCTAGCATTTCATGGTGGTAGATACTAGCTACAACTGTCAGCATAGCAGAACATGTGCACTTGTGAATCACTATGTTCTATGTCTGAAACTAATGTAACATCCTGTGTCAACTATACTCAAATTAAAAAAAAAAGAAATTAAAAAAAAAGGTCCTCCAGTGGTCACCATTGTTGAATCCTTACCTACTCTCCAGGTTCATCTCCCCCACATTTCCCTTTGCTCTCTGCTCTAGCAACATGGTGCACGGTTATATTCTCGGTCTGTGCTATGTGACCTTCCCAGGGTCTTTGCACATGTTCTACCTGTGATTCTCATTCTTCTCCTACTACCCTACTTATCTTCTGGAGATCCTTCAGATCTCAACTCGCCTGTTGCTTTCTTCAGGAGGACTTGCTTCTCTGACCTCCTTGACGTGATCAGATTCCGCAACTTAAACGCTAGCTGAATATCATGTACCCTTCTTTCATAGTACTTTTCACAACTTTGATTTTACATTTATTCGTGTGATTCTTTGATAGTTCTCCTCCCCTAGATCTGTAGACTGGAGCTTCCCAGGTCATGAAGCCTGGGACCAGATTCTTGGCTGTATCCCGAGGGTCTAATGTATTGTAGTAGTTTATCAGTAAACTTGCTTCAGAGTGAGTGATTGGATCAGGAGAGAAATGGTGGGTTATGTAAAACTCCTTTGGGAACAGATCTTATATAAGAAGCACACTTTTTCCATTTTTAATGGGGGTTGGGAATGAAAAGATGTATCCACATTCATTTAGCAAATATTAATTAAGCACTTACTATGTGCCAAACCCTCATATTCTATTGCAAGAGAGCAGACAATAAACATACATAGAAAGAAACCTAGGGGCGCCTGGGTGGCTCCGTCGGTTAAGTGTCTGACTTCGGCTCAGGTCAGGATCTCACGGTCTGTGAGTTTGAGCCCCGTGTCGGGCTCTGTGCTGCAGAGCCTGGAGCCTGCTTTGGATTCTGTGTCTCCCTCTCTCTCTCTCTTTCTGCCCCTCACCCACTTGTGCTCTGTCTCTCTTGGTCTCAAAAATAAATAAAATGTAAAAAAGAGAAAGAAACCTATAGTTTCAGTGAAGGTAAGTGATGTGAAGAAAAGTAAAACATAGTGAGGGTAAAGAGACTATTGGTAGCTACTATTTTATATCGGTGAGGAGGTGACATTTCAGCAGAGACCAAAAACCATGATTGAATGTGCTAATATGAGTGAGATTCTCCCTTTTTTTTCTTTCTCTCTCTGTTTCCTTCTCTCCCTTTCTCCCTCTTCTCCATTAGGCTTAATGTTTTACTTAAATTTATGTAGTGACTTGGTGACTCATGAAGGAACCAAAAATAATGAATGATTGGAAGTCTGATGTCTTCCCCAAAAGAGAGAGATGTTTTACCAGTCCTTTTGTCATTTAAAAAAAATGTACATAAAAGCATAGTTTGAAAATCTTATTTGCCACCAAGATGCTGCTTTTCATAATGAATTTACTTGTAGCAATTGAACATGGGTTTGAACTATGCAGGTCCACTTATATGTGGAGTTTTTTCAATAAATAGATTGGAAAATTTTTTGGAGATTTGCAGCAATTTGAAAAAACTCATGGATGAACTTCATCACCTAGAAAAACTGAAAAAATTAAGGAAAGTTAGGTATTATTGTAAGAATAGAACATATAATATGTATAACACACGAAATCTACAGTAACCAACTGTTTATATTGTTGGTGAGGCTTCCAATCAATAGTAGGCTATCAGTGGCTAACTTTTTGGAGAGTCAAACGTTATACATGGATTTTCAACTGCACAAGGGTCTGTGTACCTAATCCCCACATTGTTCAAAGGCCATCTGTATTTACCTTTAATACCTTTGCTATATAGGTGTCTTAGTTTTTGTTCAGAACCTTTTTATGATGTAGGAGAGTATGGATTTGCTAAGAACTATCAGAAAATAAGTCTTCCACAAAAACTTGATCTTCAGGCACCCTACAGTTTACTTGAAGCCCTAAAACAGCATTTAGCTTCTTTGGAAGAGAAAAATGACAGTTTACCTCCTTACAGGTAAGTTAATAAATGCCTTACTATAAATTAATTTTGTTTCTATGTAAATAATTTCCTTCCTTTTAACAACATGGAAGTGACTAAGTAAATCATGGGCTTTGAACCTGCTGGAACACTATGTAGCAGTTTTAAATGGAATAGAGGTTTTCAGTCTTTTATGGGATTCCATACTCTCCACAAGGCTGACATGCTTCCCAAGGGAACAGCTTTTATTACGTTGAGTGAGTCTCAAATTCAGAAGTTGGGACTGGAACAAACCCTCTTTTGCAGAATTTGTTTTCCTCCCTTAGAGGCTTCCCTAGTGAGAGTAACTGTTGTAGACAATGATTTAATGCTTATCCACAAAACAGCGTGCATAGTAACATTCAAGACGTGTGTGTGTACACACACATATATGCACATACACACAGACCTGCACTCTTCTGTATATGTGTGTATATACACAAATTAAATAATACACATTTTGAGGTATAATGCTTCAAATGTTTGTTAGCTATTTCTGATTGGAAAAATTATGGTTGATTTCAATTTTTTCTTTTTTCTTTTTACTTTTCAGTATTTTTCAGAATTTCTATAAAGATCATGTATTATTCATTCATTCCACTTACTAGGTTATGTTGATTATAATTGACTTATATTATCACATTGTATTAGACAACAAGTCTGTTGACTATTCTCTTTATCACAGATGTATAATTAGTATATAGTTGGATGGATGGATTAATGGATGGATAGATGGTTAAATTAAGGAAATGTATGCGCAGCTGGGTGGGATATATGTGATTCTATTTATTTTCCAGTATGCCTCATTTTTCTTGTAATCTTTTAAGTCTTCAGCACGCATTGATTCCCCCCATCCCAAATAATCCAGTTGTGAAAACTTCAACAAGCAGAGCTTGGTTCTCAGGTAACCTAACTCGATTATATGATTATGTCAGTAATCACTGAGAACAGGATTAGAGTCTTTAATTATTCTGCTGCTTAACCACCTACTATGTGTGCTGCCTCCTCCTGAAGCAGTCTCTGACCAAGTGGTTTCATTTGTAGGAATTTATTCAATGCATATATTCAGGATTGCGAAATGATATATGAACAGGGATATCCAATACAATAAGAGGCTTGTTTTTATGTATTGAAATAGAAATATTTCCAAGATATATTGTTAAATAAAAAACGAGCAAGGTGTGACACAAAGTATAGTATACTCCCATCTTTGTTTTTAAAACAGAAAAAAGGATATATATGTTTGTAAATTTCTTAAAGAATACTTCTGGAAAGATATACAAGAAATGAATAAAATGCACTGCCTCCAAGAACTTGGTGGTTCATGGAAAGGATGGGTGGGAGAGTCCTCATTGTACACAATTTTGTAACTTGAATTTTGTACATGTAAACAATTACTAATTAAAAGATAAATTTAACAAAGAAACACATACAGTGTGATACCTTGTTACGCTTAACATGGAAGTCCTTTGTAACCTCTTAAGGTTAGTTTGCCTCATACTTCGGTAGTTTGCTGAATTTTCAGGAATTTTGCAAGCTGGTTGATGTCACATTGGTAACTTGAAATTGGCCATGATGGAAGTATTTACACGACAGAAATGGACAAACACTACAAAACAGGCCTTTTGTTTTTCTTGGAGAGCTGGTTGTTACACATTTACTGGCACATGACAGTTCATAATCAGCCATATTCTGTTTTTTTAATGGGTGATTGTGTTTCGATGATGTTACTTAATCCTCTAGTCACAAATCCAGTAATAATGAGCTATATTATCATAGGGTTTATATGTGTTCAAATTAAAGTTCTTAATTTAACTTGAAGACTTAAACTGTATCCATTTTAAATGTTTTTGCTTTTCTTTTGTACATATATTCTTAATGGACAAACCTTCTGCACTTTGAATGGGTAAGTTTGACCAAAACTATGAGGAACATAATAAGTCCTTTGAATGAAACCATATTATAGCAAAAGTGGCACATTTTTGTATAGTATACTCCAAAAGAGTATACATTTTTGTATAGTATACTCCAAAAGAATGACTACTTTGCTGAGTCCCTACGGGAGTCATGAGCACTTATGACAGATGTTACAAGACAGTTAAATATAGTATTTGACAAGCTGTGGATTCAGCCTGATGTGAATGTGAATTCCAAGTCAAGGGTAGGGAGAATGGGGAACTACTACTACGCTATTACAAAGGCCTATGGGTTGCCTGACTCTCATTGCTTGAACCGATTCTACTGACAACCCTATGAGCAGCTGAAACCACTTTTTCTCTCAAATCAGTGGTTTAAAGGTACCTGCCATGAAACCAGAGTGCTTGGGTTCAAATTTCACTCTAGCATTCATAGACTGTGTGACTTAGGGCAGACTACTTAACCTCTCTGTACCTCAGCTTCCTGATCCTCATAAGGTTGCTCTCAGGATAAATGAATCAGTACCTGTAGAATGCTTAGAACAGGGCTTGACCCATGTGTTACTTAGAAGTGCATTTCAAAATTTCATGTATATGGGGAATGGGGATCTTTTTTATTCAGTTTTTCATTTTAATTTCAGTATAGTTAACATGCAGTGTTATATTAGTTCCAAGTGTACAATATAGTGATTCTACGCTTCCATACAACACCCGGTGCGCATCGCAAGTGCCCTCCTTAATCCCCATCACCTATTTTACCCATTCGTCCTTCCCACCTCCCCTCTGGTGACCATCAATCAGTCTGTCTATTTCTTGGTTTGTCTCTCCTTGTCCTTTGTTTGTTCTGTTTCTCAAATTCCACATATGATGAAATCATAAGGTATTTGTCTTTTTCTGACTGACTTATTTCACTTAGCATAATACTCACTACCTCCATCTGTGTCATTGCAAATGGCAAGACTTTATTCTATTTTTATGGTCAAATAACATTCCATTGTATAGATAAACCACACCTTCCTTATCCATTCATCTATCACTGGACACTTGGGCTGCTTCCATAGCTTGACTATTGTAGATAGTGCTTCTGTAAGCATACGGGTACATGTATCCCTTTGCGTTAGTGTTTTTGTATTCTTTGTGAAAATATACAGTGGTGTGATTGCTGGATCATAGGGTAGTACTATTTTTAATGTTTTCAGGAACATTGGTACTGTTTTCCAGAGTGACTGCACCAGTTTGCAATCCCATGAGCAGTGCAAGAGGGTTCCCCTTTCTCCACATCCTCACCAACACCTGTTGTTTCCTGAGTTGTTCATTTTAGCCATTCTGACAGGTGTGAGGTGGTGTCTCATAGTGGTTTTCATTTGTATTTCCCTGATGATGAGCGGTGTTTAGCATCGTTCCATGTATCTTTTGGACATATGGGGATCTTCTAATGATCTTTTTTTGCTACTAAATTGTAGCCTGGTTGCATTAGGTCAGAGAACCTTCGCTGTAATTTCAGTCCTTTGGAATTTGTTGATACTTCCTTCATGGCCCAGCATGTAATCAGTTTTCTTTTTGGTAGAAGTTTTATGTGCACTGGAAAACTGCATCCTTTGTTGGTAGATACAGTATTCTGTGTATGTCCGTTAGGCTGAAGTTGTTAATTGTGTTTTTTTCAGATCCTCTGTGTCTTCATTGATTATTTTGTCCACTTGTTCATACAGTTCCTAAGAATCATGTGTGAACATTTCCCTTATTTCCTCATAAACCACATTAAGCACTATTTTTAGCTCGTACACCACTAAATGAGTCTTATTAAAGTCATCAGTCACCTCCACATTGCAAGATCTGATGGTGATTACTCAGGCTTCATCTTATTGGGTCCCCTCAGTTCATCACTCCCACCTCTTTGATACACTTTCTTAAGTTTACCTATTGGTTTTCTTCTTATGTAACTCTTGGCTCCTTTTTAGACTTTTTTTTTTTTTACTGATTTATCCTCATTTCTCTTCTTTACATATACTTACTCATTCCTAGATGACCTCATCCAGGCTCAAGGCCTTAAACACTGTTTACGTGATAAGGACCCCCAAATTAGTATCTCTAGCTACAGCCATTTCTCTTGGACTTCAGAATTGGTATCCAAGTGTCTATTCGGTGATTTCACTTGAATTGTCTAGTAGGGTTCTAAAACTCACTATGTCCAAAACTAAGCTTCTGATACTCTACCGCAAACCTGTTGGTTTTACCTTCAAAATATATCTAAATGTTGACCACTTCTCACTATCTCCAGTGCTACCACCCTAGTTAACGTTACCATCATCTCTGACCTGGACCACTACAAGGGCTTTCAGACCACCTCCCTGCTTCTTCCCTTGCCCTGCAGTCCTTCTTTACATAACAGGGTGATCTCATTAAAATACCAATCAGATAGGGGTGCCTGGGTGGCTCAGTCGGTTAGGGATCCAACTCTTGATTTTGGCTCAGGTCATGATCTCATGGTTCATGGGATTGAGCCCCTCGTTGGGCTCTGTGCTGACAGTGCAGAACTGGCTTTGGATTCTCTCTCTCCCTCTCTCTCTGCTCCTTCCCTACTCACCCTCTCTCTCTCAAAATAAATAAATAAAATAAATAAATAAATAAACAAACATCACAAAAAAACCAGATCATGTCTCTCCTCTGTTCAAATCTCTCCAGTGGTTTCCCCATCTCAGGGAAGTTGGCCTAAGATGGTGGCCTCAGAGTAAAATGCAAAGTCCTTACAATTCTTTACAAGGACCTCAGTTGCCTTTCTGACCCCTTTGATTACTCTAACTTCAGACACATTTGCCTCATTATTATTCCTGAGGGCCTTTGTTCATGCTGTTCTTTCTGCTGGATGCACATGGTTTACTTTCATATACTTGAGGTCTTTACTTAAAAGTCCCCTTCTCAGTGAACTTTCCCTATCTAAAAGTTAAATACCCCTCCCCTACCGACATATCATACCTTTCTCTCTGATATTTTTCCCTTAGCACTTACCACAAGCTAACATATGCTTCATTTACCTTGGTTATTTTGTCTCCAATGGAATATATGCTGCATGAAGGCAGGGAGTTTTTTCTTATTTCTTCACTGTATCTTCAGCACTGAGTATGGTATCTAAGAAGTGCTCAATTAAAATGTATTTAATGAGTAATTTAACATGACTTTATTTATAGTCATTAACCTAATAATTTTATGTGCTATTATTTTGTAATGGGAGGTACATATGTATCATTACTGTGTTGATATAAATTTGCTTTAGGTTTTCATCTAATTCTGTTTCTTATTTTCAGATTATTTTCCCTATATGATATAACAAACATTATATTCACAAGTCCGCAAACGTGTTGGAGCCAAACAGCAAGGTGGAAAAACCATTGCAAACAATCTGGATGGCTTGCCTGCTAGCCTTGCAGGAAGTAAGCATCTATTTTTAAATTAATATTATATATATGTATATGTATATATATTCATATTTAAATTTATTTTAAGAAAAAGTATACAAAAATAATGTGAAATTTGTTTGTTTTGTGAAACAGATCTTAACTTCGGAGAAAGTCCAGTCAACAAGTAAGATTTTAGTATTTAAAAAGTACAGCCAATAATAACATACATGTTAGAGGAAGAGACTCATGAGAATAACAACCAAAAAAGTAATTATTTTAGATTCTATATAGAAATCATTTGTTAAAAAACTCTATAATATGAGAATTTTTTCCTTCAATAATTAATATAGAGAATTTGTTATATACTATCCCAATTTTCATAGGCGATGTTCTTGGTGAAAGTGTACCATATAATATATCACACAGTTCTCCTCCTACCCCTCTGACAATCCCTTCAATGGTTCATCTGGAGGATCTGTTTTTCTAAGCATGTCTTAAACATAGGCATTCCTCGTGGTTTTGTACTCTTGGTTCTTTTCTTTATTATATAGACTCAAGTGACTAATACTTATTTTTTATTTTATTAAACAAAGGCTGTAAAACCACCAGTTGGAACTTCTCGGCATTTTAAGATAGTCAGCGTTACTTCAGTGAGTGAATCCCTACATTTTCAGCCAAAAAAACTTCCAAAAGCAGGCAAATGAAAACCAAAGGAAGGCAGAAGTGATAATATTAACAACAAATACTGTGGGATGTAAGTTTAAAAACACTACACAGATTAGGAGGGATACCATTACAATGATAAAAGACACTATGGAGGCACTATTTTGTGTATACACAAAGTTAAATACATGAAACAAAAATTATTAGAAATACATGGAGAATTTAAGAAAAATACAATTATAAGCAGTGATTTCAAACCACCTCTTTCATTATTGGATAGATCTAGTAAGCAAAACGTGAGTAAGGACACAGAGGAATTTGAATAATGCATAGTAAATAATAAACCTGAGTGCGCGCACGCACACACACACACACGGAATGTTCATTTTCTTCAAAGCAATCACACCTTGGCAAAAAACTACAGAATTTTACAGGCTATATTCTCTCATAATCTAATGAAATCATAACTCATTAATAAAAAGTTGACCATGGATCTTAACTATTTATAAGTTTAAAAACATAGTCCAAATGTCCACTGACTGATGAATGGATAAAGAAGGCGTGGTACATATATCCAATGGAGTGCTACTTGGCGATCAAAAAGAATGAAATCTTGCCATCTGCAACAACATGGAAGGAATTAGAGTGTATTATACTAAATGAAATAACTCAGAGAAAGGCAAGTATCATAACTTGACTCATGTGGAATTTAAGAAACACAATGGATGAACATAGGGGAAGGGAAGGAAAAAGAAGATAAAAACAGGCAGGGAGGCAAACCATAAGAGACTCTGAGGTATAGAAAACAAACTGAGGGTTGCTGCAGGGGAGGTGGGTGGAGGGTTGGGCTAAAGGGGTGATGGGCACTCAGGAGGGCAGTTGTTGGGATGAGCAGTTGGTGTCATAGGTAAGTGATGAATCACTGGGCTCTACTCCTGAAGCCAATACTATGCTGTGTGTTAACTAACTTTAATTTAAATAAATAAACAAATAAATAGCCCATAACTTTGCCAAAGAGGAAAGCCAAAGGCAAGTTATCAAACTGTTGGAAGCTAAACGCAGAGGAAAATTTCATCATTGCCAAAAAAGAGAAATTAATAAACATTTAGTTTTTGTCTTAAGAAAATCTATATAAAATTATAAAAAATAAAATTTATAAAGATAAAAGCTCAAATTAGTAAAATTGCAAACAAAAATAAATGCAAAAATTATTTCTTTTTAAAGTCTAATAAAATAAGCTCCCATGACTAAACAGAAAAGGAAATGTAAAAGTGTAACAACATGAAATTGAGAGGGCTGACATGACCACAGATGTAGGCGATATTAAAATAAGTAAAAGCGAATATTTTATGCAGCACTGTGGCAACAGCATATTTGAAATTTGGAGTAAATTGATTTCCAAGCAAAATATAAACAAATTCATCCAAGAAGCGGAAACATGCATGGAGCAAACACCACATAAATTTTTAAAAAAGGAATTACAGATCTGCCGATGCATCATGGGTTCCTGGTTGGATTCACAAATAAAATCTAGGAATATATTTAAAAATTACGCTACCTACATAGACTCCTCCTTTTTTTCTTGGAGTGTGCTGTCTGAAACACCTACTGTGGGATGGTAGTGGTAGAGGCGATGTAATGAAAAGTGGATGCATCTGAGACGTGTTTCGAAGGTAGGGTTGACAGAATAAGAAGGATTAGGGATGCTGCTTAAGTTTTTGGTTTGAGCTGCTGCATGGATAGTAAAGTCATGTATTGTGATGGGAGAGATTGAAGGAGAAACAGTTGGAGTAGGCAAGTTGAATCAAGCGTTCTCTTTTGACATGTTATGTTTCAAATATGTATGAGACATCTAAGAGGTAGACATAGAAGTCTGGATATTAGAGCTAGAGCTAAAAACTGCGGTAGTTATTTTTTTAAGATTTTTAAAAAGTATTTTTAAGTAATCTCTACACCCAGTGTGAGGCTCGAACTGACAACTCTGAGATCGAGAGGCACATGCTCTTCCCACCGAGCCAGCCAGGCGCCCCTAAACACTGTGGTGGTTAAAGTCATAAGGCTTGATTTCTTCATCTTGGTAGAGAGTAAAGAGGATAATGGTAGGTCCAGAAGTGAACTTTGAAACATCATAATATTATAGGGATTTAACTGAAAGGTTAAAGTGTCAAGAATTGAGGAAAATGAAGCACAGACAATGGATCAGAAATAAGTGTAACATTGGACCTTAAAATAATAACACTGGAAGCTAGAAGAAAATACTTCACTCTGTTAAAAATTTTAGTGACATTTATTTCTAGTCTAGAAGTTTGTACTCAGACAACTCCCAACCAAATGCAACAGTTAAATAGACATTTTTAAAACTCAAAAAATGCAAAAAAAAAAAAAAAAAAAAAAAGGACTTACCATGCACCTTTGCTCAGGAAGCTCCTACAAGGTGTGCTCCAAGAAAACAGAAAACTAAGAAAGAGGAACACATGGGATTCAGGGAAACAGAGTCCTACTGAAGTGAGAGGTGGAAGGAATTCCCAATATAGCAACAATGGAAATCCCAGGGTGATATTTGTACAATTGGCCTAGAGAGCAGGTTAGATTGGAACAGAAGGATATAGAGCTCCAAGAGAGATGTCTTCAGGAAAAAAAAATCTTTCAACTTGAGATAGTTATTATTTCCACTAGATCATAAGCTCTATGAAGGCAGATGTTTTCATCTGTTTTATGTATCCTAAGCACTGAGAATACTGCCTGGCACCTAGTAGATATTTAATGGATATTTGTTGAATGAATGCAATGAATCCATACTTCACATATGAGCAAATTGAGATACAGAAATTTGTAACTTGCCCAACCTTACACAGTTAGAAAGTGGCTGAAGTGGGATTTGAACCCAGGCAGTCTTGCTCTAGCGTCAGGGCTATTAACCTCTGTAGTGTTTTTATATTTACATATAAGGTGTACACATACACACACACACACACACACATCTCTCTCTCTCTCTCTCTCTCTCTCTCTCTCTCTCTCTCTATATATATATATATATATATATACTAGGTTTCAAAGATGTAGATGTGGAAAGGTGGGAGGGGAAGTAGGGTATGGTGTGAATGACAAATCTTCCAAAGGAAATCAATAGTGTCTAACTTCTAAATTAAACTTATCAATTAAGATATAGTAGTATAGACATTCTTTTTTAGAATTATGGATTTAAATACCATGAAGAAAAGAGTGGCTACCTTTGGGAAGGGGAAGTGGTGACTGATGTTTCTGGTTTTAGATCTTTTTGTATTATTTGACTTTTTAAACTCCGTATCACTTAGATAAAAATTAAACTTATATAAGTCAAATGACAAATATGGAATAAACAGGAGCTTTTAGGACAAGAACATAAGCATTTGTTTCCTTTTCTTTCTATTTATTATCATATTTATATAAAATATTCTCTATCTAGTATTATTTAGTCTCCTAATAACTTTAATTCGTAAAGAAGATAGGTAAATCCCATTTTACAAGTAAGAAAAGAAGTTCCTTAATGAAGGTTACACAGCTAGTGAATAGCCTCGTGGGGCTCAGAACTCAACACTTCTGCCTCTTACCTTAGTGCCCCTTCGACCTACCACCCTGGGAGAATACTAGTTTTTTCTCTAGATAAACTATTAAAATAGCTTAGAATAAAATGTATTCACTCAAGTCACTTTTTTATGCACAACTGCTACCATTGAATTCTTTTCGTGAACTCAAAACCCAGCAGAAACATTTAGTTTTGTAATGATAACTTAATTTCATCTACAAAACAGCCAATGGGCTTCTTTTGGCTTTGTTTTGTGACTTCATGTTTAAATGGTAGATTTGTCATTCTTCAGAGTGGGCTGATTTATAAATCCCATCTTAGATCTGACATGAAGTGGCCTCAGACTTCAGACAAGGAAATTGCTGGTGGAATGAAGTGGCAGCTGAATACCTACACGTGCACATCAACCATCTGGAACCATGTTTCCATTCCTCTGGTACGTCACATGGTAACGTTTCTTACGTATTATTACCTAGAATGCTAGAATGGTGGTAGTAGATCCAAAGATTTGAGAGACAGAGAGATTTGAGAGAAGGTTGCTAATAGGTTCAAAGTTGAAATATGGGTCCCCAATAAATTATCTGCAATTCTAAAATTCAAAAAGCTCCAGAAAGCAAGTTTTTAGTTGTTGTTGTTAAGTTCGCAACAAACTCTTTTGGCTGCAAAACTTTACCTGAACTACAAAGAGGCTGTCATCATTATTTATGGAAGTATAGATATTCACACCTAAATTTTGCATTTGGATTTTGCTGCAGAAATATTAATGTGTTAGATTACAGGGTACTATTCCAGCCCCCCAACCCCCAGGGTGTTACTAGTATGGTCTTTGTGTAATTTCTAAATTATTTTTTCCAAAAATTAGAAAACATTTTGAATTCCAAAGCACATTTGGCCCCAAGGGCTTAAGGATGTGGACCTGTGCTATTTTTATATGATTTTGCTTTAATATTGGTCCAATGATATAACAAACCGTATGTTAACTCTTGAGCACCTAGTGACTTCGGTTTTCTTAATATGCAGCTGAGGTGTGTTCTAGGAGTGAGAATTTTGAGAGGTTTTGGGAAACAGGAAGAAGTAATTTCAAAATGTGCTGAGGAAAGGCGTGGCTGCACTGCTTCCTGGAGGACACAGATGGCTAAGGACCTAGAAAGGTCACAGCAAGGAGGTTTTGGGCTCGGAATAATAAGGAAGAAATGAAAAAACATTAACAGTTTGGGTCAACTTTAGGTTCATAAAGCTATTAATAGTATTCCCTTATTTTCCTTTATTTTTTTTTTTTAGTTTTTTTTTCAACGTTTTTATTTATTTTTGGGACAGAGAGAGACAGAGCATGAACGGGGGAGGGGCAGAGAGAGAGGGAGACACAGAATCGGAAACAGGCTCCAGGCTCTGAGCCATCAGCCCAGAGCCCGACGCGGGGCTCGAACTCCCGGACCGCGAGATCGTGACCTGGCTGAAGTCTG